ATGTATGTATGTATGTATTCATTCCCTACGCATATTTTGCTTCATCCAAGACCCATGCGTGCCTAATTTTGATATAATTTAGGTAGACCAGCAAGCATGAGCAACCCCCTCACATATCAGAAAAGGCGACTACTACATATCATATGATCTTTCACATAATCTTCATTGACGTACAACAGTGATGGTACATAGAGCGTATAAGGCGACTATTACCTTACATCTAGTTTTCCGTGATCATATAGTAGTGAGTATATAAACTTATAACAAAGACCAGTTGAATCTAGTTGTAAACGCTTTGCGTCGCCCTCCGGGATTCAGAAACTGGGTGGATGGAGTTTTTTGTTGAGTTCTTGGGTCAGGCTCGNNTCGGTGCCGGTTCTGCGTGAGCCAGGCTCCGATTCCGACCGAGCGGGCTTTTTTGTTCCCAAACTCACGGATTACTTTGACGACGATTTTGGCTTTGGGTGCCGCCTTGCTCGTGGTTGTTCGGACTTTGTCCGGCAGTGTGTCCTTCGAAAATTTGTGTTTATGCTGGCTTTACTTCTCTTGTTCGGTCGGCGTGCTTGGCATGCAGGACTGCCGACCTTTTGATTACGATTTGCGCTTTGGGTGCAGTCTTGCTCGAAGTTGTTCGGGATTTGTGCGGCAGTGAGTCCCTCAAAAAAATTGTGTCTATGCCGGGTTTTACTTCTTCTGCTTGGTCGGTTAGCTCGGCATACGGGACTGCTTACCTTTCGAATTGATTTTTGGGCTTTAGGGCGCCGCTTTGTTGGTGGTTGTTCGCACTTTGTGCGGCAGTTTCCCTTGGAAACAGGAGTGAGGGGGGGAGGGGGGAGGGGGGTCCAGGTGGGAAGCTCTGACGCTTCCGCCGCGGCCAAGGCGAATTAAACATTTTGCGATTCAGGGGGACTTCTTTAAGTTCTTAGGTTCTTAGGTGTGCTTCGTGAGCTTTCTTTGACCACCCGTGGTGTAGTGGTAGTAGTGTTGGCAGTATTGCCAACATAACCCTATAAATACTTACCTTCTGGGCTCTAAGACAAAGAGGGGCTCAATTCTTATGGCGATCTAGTTTAGTGGTTTCTGTTCACGCCTTAGAAACCCTAAGCCCATAACCTCGACAGTGAACCCTATAGTCACTAGTCTTAGCTACCCGGTGCATGTCCCAGTGAGAGTTCAACCACGGATGCCGGGAAATAGCTCCCCCTCACCCCTCCCGCGGCTCAAACCGGGAGAATACTTTCTCATTGCCAAGCACCTTGACATGTCATTCTGTTTCGAAGCCCTGCATAGGGTGGGGTATTTTGGTTGTCTTTTGCGGTGCTCAATGGTGCTCCTTTGACTGGGATTTTGTTCGTCTCCTGGCACTGGTCCTGCCGGCTCTAACTCGCCGTCGCAGTGTTGTCAGGACGTTCGCCAACGAGAATCTCAGTACCTTGTCTGAAAAAGTGGGAAGGATCGGCGCAGAGATGACGGATTCAGGAAACCTGCCTAGAAGGACATGAAAGAAGCGACTGTTTGTAGGCTCTCTAGCTGGTCAAGAAACAGCGAGGCGATTGCGTGAAATCGCCCATTGCGCGGGGGCCATCGAGAGGCTCACTTCGCTGAAGACGGGCGTGGGTGCCTGCCCCCCCTTTCTAGCGCGCGGAACTCCTTGCGAAGTTCCGCTGAATCGAAGTTGCACTCCCGTGCAGACCTTCATGACGAAGGCTCTGGAGCATTCGATTTTCACGTGTTCCGCCCGTGGCAAATGCCAAGCAGGCCCACTTAGCTGGCAAAAGCGGAGCATCTGTGTGCAGTGCCAGAAAGGCAGACGTCAGACTGCAGTATGCATATAGACACGTATATGTATTCTCAATTTAAGTATTTATGATGCAACACATGAAGTGTAAAATGCATAACGCCTTTTGAGTCGAACGAACGAAAACCCCAAAAACCCGAACCTGATACCCCCAAGCCCCAAACCCTAATCTCTGCGCCTTGGCCCTAAGCCTTACATACATCCGGGTTCTTTGAGTGGCCAGGCGCTTCTAAAGATGCGAGACTACGATGCCGCCGCGGCAGATGCAGCTTTGGCCCTACAGCTTCGAGCGCACGATGCCAAGGCCATTCCTTTCAAGCTCTTTGTCAGAATGTAGTATAGACAGGTTAAAACCACGAACACGATGCTACGATTTAACACATGGTTGCTGTTTGCTATATTGTTGTGATTACAACTGTCTATAGCATTTCAATAAGTATCAAGCAATGATGTAAACAGTCAAATCATGTAAACCAGGACATGAAGACGTAACTAACTCTTTGACATGCATAGATGCATGCATAGTTGCATTGTGAGACATGTGTATGTATGTATGTATGTATGTATGTATGTATGTATGTATGTATGTATATATAGATATATATACATATATATATATAGGTGTACATGTATATACTACTTACGCACTATAGCATACACGGCAGTGCAGAGCATGATGGCGTGATCAGCTTTTTGCACTGCAATGCCTTTCTTGTGTCATGCTCCTGATCGGCAGGCTTGGTCTCGTTATGTTATGGCTGCCGGAGGCCACCATCATCGTTGTTTTCCAAGCAGTTAAGTTGTGCACGTTTCTGTGGATCTGCCCTCAACGCAAGATAGTCTTTAGCATTCCATGTACGGGATCCATCCATTATCGTAAGCCCAAGAAGCCCAGATTCCTGATCCGAAGGCCCAAATTGTTCCCGCCATGCATTTGGGCACTAGGCCGGAAACAGGTGCAGGAGATAAGCCCGAAATTTCAAAGATAAAACCCTGCACTGCAAAATCTGTCAATCGCGGTTTGACAAACCCGAACTAAAGCGCAACACGCAAAAGGGCAAACAAGATCCTGCAAACGGAAACTAAATCCTGAAACCCGAACCCCTCCTGCCCTAACCTCCTAAACTTTCAACCCTCTCACTCTTCACCCTAAACTTCCTAAACCCTCTAAAGCTGTCTTCTGAATCCCAAACCCTCCAAACCCCGAGCCCCCAATCCTTCTAGATGAAAAGGCCCTAGCACTCAACCTTCTATCTATACCCTAAAACCCTAAAGCCCCAAACCCTAAAGCGCCAAAACCCTAAAGCCCTAAACCCTAAAACACCAAAATCCTAAGAACCCTAAGAACCCTAAGAACCCTAAACACCCTGAAAACCCTAAACCCTAAAACCCCAAAATCCTAAGAACCCCAAGAACCCTAAGAACCCTAAAAACCCTGAAAACCCTAAGCCCTAAAAACCCTAAAATCCTTAAAATCCTATAAACCCTTAGCCCCACTCCTTCCAGGCCTCGCTGCCCTGTCCGTGGCCGGCCGCGGGGAGGAGTACTCCGCCGGCCCGGAAAAGGCGGAGATCGCGGAGGCCCCCCGGGTTTTTGCTCTTTAGGGTTTTGGGGTTTGAGGGTTTTTTCGGGTTTTGGGGTTTTAGTGTTTTTTTTAGGGTTTTTGGGGTTTTTGGGTTCAGGGTTTAGGGTGTTAGGGTTCTCGGGTTTTTAGGAGCGGGTAGGGTTTAGCGCCGGTTTAGGCTTAGGGGGTGTAGGGTTTCCGGTATAGACTTTACTTTAGGGCTTTAGGGCCAGGGCGTTTAGGGTCAGGAGCGGGTTCATGAGGGGGTTTAGACTCTACGACTTTAAAGTTTATCGCGGTCTGTACATAATAATATAAGGGTTTCTTTATGGGCTTTTGGTCTCAGGGAGTTGGGCTCAAAGGTTTGGAGCAGACGACTGTGTGAGGAGCCGTGTTTCCGTTTGGTCTTGGCACGTTGGGCGGTTGCATGCGGTTGCAAGGGTTCGGGGCCTGAGGGGTTGGAGCAGTGCATGTAGCTTCAGCTGTCAGTTCGGGCTTGGGTTCAATCCTTGCAGCCAGGTACTGGTAGAGGATTGGAGACTCGTCACATGTCGGGCGGCTACCTGTTCCACAGCCTTCGCTGCCGCAGGCAAGATCCGTGTCCTGTCGCAGGTTTGTCTTCAACGCTTCCAATTGCCAGAATCATGTGCAGGTGGTTTGCGGCATGGGGAGAGGAGAGATCCATGTCACCTCGCTGTTGGCATTTTCATACAGATTCATAGCTTGTCAATGTGGTTCCAGCAAAAAGCTTGCGATTATGCTCCCGTACCGGTCGAAGATCCTGGCACTCCCGATGATCGAAGGTCCGGGTACCTCCCCAGTGGCTCCCAACGCAGTGGCCGCGAAGCGAGCGATTGAAGTCGCCAAGGTGGGCAGCACTTTCTGCGGCTGGCCAGCGACGAATTCTAAGTCTGAGTAGCAGGTTTTTGGATGTCAAAAAGTCAATGAAAATGCACGTCAGGTCTTTGGGGACTTAGTTCGGAGGAGGGTTCAGGTAGTCCCATGTGGCAGATGCGTTAGAAATTCTTCGCTGACAGGAGGCCGCGAATGCCGAGTGCCCGAAGAGCAAGCGGAACTGCCAGTTCTGTGTCAGTGGGCGAATTAGCTCTCTGCGAGGTCGCATGAGGTCGTAAGTGAATATAGGTGATGCTCAAACGATGTGTGATGGAGCGAATAGTGAATTTGGCAAGGCAGGGGCATTATCTTCGCACCCACCCAAACCCTGATTTGTCGGTGCAGCAAAGGCATTCCCTTGACTGTTGACGAAGGTACAACAAGCAGAACTACAGCGCGGCCGTAGAAGGCCAGGTTCTGTGCCTGTGGAAGCACCCAGTCCGCCGTCTCAGCCAATCATAGTAATGGTTTGAGTCTGTCTCTCTGTCTGAATGTAGGAAGCTCCTTGGATTGCAGGGCAGTATCGAGTGGAGTTGGTTTCTAACCTAGAAGCCGGCCAGGTTACACGAAGGCGACGGCCTCTGATCCTTGCCTGGCCGATGTGGCGGCCATCTTCAGCAATTTGGCGCACTGCAGGCCGGGTGCTGTTGATGATGGTCGTGTAGCTTTGCCAGTTAAGACGACAAAATAAAGACATCGAGATTCCTGACGGGAAGAGTCGTCTGACTGCACGCAGGCTCTGCTTGGGCCAGCCGCACTGTCGGATCCTCGACCTCCTTGTTGCAGACAGCTTCGTCCTGTTGGGGCTGACAGAGCTGCAATGGGTTTAGAGCTGTGGCGTCTCGGGCAATTTGGAGTCTGTTTTGTATCGAGCCAAAACTGTGGAGCAGTCTATCCCGGCCCAGGTGCTATTGCTTCAGCGGTCTCCTGCCTTCGGCTCAGACCGTCATGGGCAGTTGCCGTCAAGGTCCCTGCCTTTGCTGCTCGCTTTCTTACAGCACGTCATGCGCTTTGGTAGAGTCTGGTAGAGCATCTCAATCGTTGCGACAAGACGCAGCGTGATGGTTTCAGTCGGCAGGCCGTCCATCGACTGGCCGCTGCATTAGCCAGTACAGGTCAGCCCTAGGAAGCACAAGCATCCTCATCTAACTGATCGTGCAAAGTGGTTGTTTCTGTGCAGGCGAGCACGATGCAGCTCGTCAAGTGATCCGCACGTTCCGGCCTCGGCCTGTTGGTGGAAGTGATGAGCCAAAGGCCGGCGATGGGCTTGGCTGAGGTTTGACAGCGCAGTGGTGGACGATGCCCGCCCCCACCATGAGTTCACTACTTGCAGAGTGCAAGCAGAGTATGAAAACCGCTGAAAGCATTTATCAACCGCAAACCCTGAAGCCTCCAGGTCCAACAGAAAGATCCAAACTAAATTGCCGGCCAGGTACCGGAAGCGGTTCGGAAGTCGTGCGCAGACCTGTGCAGCAAGCTGGACCGACATGCGGAGACGCTTGCCGAGCTGACGGCAAGCCAAGGTGGGCACGTGTTATTTTCTTGAACCTCTAATCATGTTATGCCTTTTACGATGGCACCTGATAGAAACCCCTTTGCAGCCTTCTTTTCTAGAGGATCGAGTTCAAAAAGATTGAACGAACAAGCTTGTGGCACACCAGGCCAGCCAGACCAGTGGGAAAGCCTACTGGAGGGCCTTCTGCCCGGCAGCGAGTGGTGTTCCGGGTCTCTGGAAGCAAGCGGCGGCCGACTGCGTGTTAGGAGCCCCACTCCTCGCGGGAGCCTGCTTTTGCTCCTTAGACCGCTGGGTGGCCTTGCGCAGGGAAGTGACAGCTGGAGCCACGGGGAGCTGGCGAGGCATTACGTTCGCTCCGATGGCTGGGGTCTGCATGAGAGGCTCTCCAGCATCTGCAATACGGATGTTGCAGCCAAAGAAGTTGCACTCTTAATCACAGGAGCGCTCGGCAGGGTCGCCGATCCACGTGAGCTGATGCTCTCTAGTCCTCGTGCCCAGCTGCTGCCACTGCTGGGTCAGCGACTGGAGTCGTTTTTTCGATCTTTTGGCACCTTGTCCCCCAGCCTCCTGGGCTGCCTTCTCGAGGAGCACCGTGTGACACTGCAGCCCAAATTTCCGGGCGCCGGGAGCTCCAGAGGCATTTTTCCCACGCTGGCCCTGATCCCCGAAGCCAACTCGGAGACAACGGCGAACTGCGAGATGCGATTCAAGCAGGGTGCGTTGGCAGTCCGCGGCTCAGCCTATCAGATCTGCTTCTTACCAGGACCCAAAAAACTCAAAAAACCCTGAAACCGAAAAGCCCTAAACCCGAATCCCAAACTAGGTCAACCCTTTCCCTGCTGCAAGGTCCTGGCATCTGAAGACTTGGAGCCCGGTAAAGAGCTGCGGATCGAAACGAGCGCAGGGATCATTTCGTGCCGGTCTTTAAACTCTTTGGCTTTAGGGCTTATAATACGGGGTCTATACTTTATAGTGCTTGCAGGGATTGTAGTCTTTGGGAAGTGCAGGCTGAGCACACCATGTGTGCCTTCCCTTTGCCGCACTTTGTGAAAGTCGCCAGAATGGCTGGCTTGAACATGGGAGGCAACTCCACACTACGTCTGCCAAAAGCGCTGCAAGGCGCGGCACGCATACCCTGAATTGCCACAAGGTACAGAAAGTCAGGTTACATGATGCAGTGGCAGCGGTACAATATGTATCAGGGCCGTTCCCTGTAAGGCTCCCTACCAAAACAAAGCCCGCATCACAAAAGAGTCCCCAAAGAAAACGTTGATCTTAAGCTAACGACTTGAGCAGTTGCCGCAGCAGCAAGGGAACCTAATAAACAAAGATCATCTTAAACCCAAAACCCTTTAAACCCTGAGCTATAAACTGCCCCAAACCCTACAGCCTACCCATAGGCCCCTAAGTGGTTCCTTTTTGGGATTACCTTATAGGATTCTACATATGAGCCACAAAAAAGGAACTACTTAGGGGCCTCTGGGTACACCCTAAACCCTAAACCATTGATGGCTCAGACCGATGAGCATATCATTGACCGGTTGCGGCGACCTAGATATAGGGGACTTAGATTTATATAGGTTTTGGAGGCAGCTCAGCCAAATGTTGACAAATTTTGACAAAATAAAGACAAATAAAGACAAATAAAAACAAATACAGACAAATAAAGACAAATAAAGACATACATTAGACAAATAAAGACAAATAAAGACAGATTTTGACAACATATTGACAAATAAA